AAAAAAATGTAAACTACCATTAGTGTGATGCTTGTCAGAGTTCTGTTATCTGTAACCCCCCTTTGTGTAACTTTCTGGGCTATAAAGCTGGGCTGCAGGAAAGCTGGGGTGCTGTCTTGTTCCCGCCATTTTGGGAGGGAGAGGCAGCCCGGCCGGTCGAAATAATAAGCTTGCTTTAATTTGATTTTAATTGGAATCAGTGGTCTTTTCTTGTGTCCTGGTCTAACAGTTAACAACTGCTATCTCTTGCATCCAAACTGAGCTTTCCAGTACACTGAATATTGAAGGGCAAGATTATGGGCAAGAGTAAGTAGTTCACCATGGTGGTGCAGGCCTGTAATCTCAGTGACTTGGAAGCTGAGGCAGGAGGATCTCATGTTCAAGACCAGTTTCAATAATTTAGTGAGACTCTAAGCAACTTAGTGAGACTTTGTTTCAAAATAAAAGCAAAAAATGGCTGGAGATGTGGCTCAGTGGTAAAATGCCTGAGTTCAATTACTAGTACCAAAAAAAAAAAAAAAATAGGGAAAAAGAGTAAGCAGTTCTATTTGAAACTCTTGGAATACTTTATGAAATGTATTCCTTCTACTACTACTACTTTTTTTTCCCTCTTTCACCTTCCTCCTCCTCCTTCTTCCTTCTCCTTCATCTTTTTTTTTTTTGTGTGTGTGTGTGTGTACCAGGGATTGAACCCAGAGTTGCTTAACCACTTAGACAATCCTCAGTCCTTTTTTATTTTTTGATACAGGGTCTTGCTAAATTGCCTAAGACCTCACTAAGTTGCTGAGGCTGGCCTTAAACATGTGATCTTCCTGCCTAGCCTTCCAAGTCACTGGGGTAACAGGTGAGCAGCATTATGCCTGGCTCTGTGAAATGTATTCTGTCATGTAGGCTCCAGGGGCTAGGGGTGTATGCAGCTCAGTCATGGTGCATGTGCTTAGTATATACAAGGCCCTGGGTTCAATCTCCTGAAACAAAAAAGAGCAGCAAAAATGCTAGGCTTGATACTATAGGTTAACTTAAAATATATTAATAATATTCTAAAGATTATGTTTGTAGCCAGGTGTGTTGGTTTATACCTGCAGTCCCAGCTACCTGGGAAGCTGAGGCAGGAG